ATTTCAATCGTCTAGAATAAGTGGTCGACCACATACTCAAAGCGGGCATACCCAAAGGCAGAGCACAGGTCGACCTCGTGACGCTTAAGGTCGACCTATGATACCGTAGCAAAGTAAAAAACCATGTAGAATATGGATGAAATCTCATCAGTTTGGCCTTAATAAAATACGGTCGACCATTCGTGTCAAGAGGTCGACCTGTTTCACATTTATAAACAATGGTCGACCATTTCAGTAAAGAGGTCGACCTGTTTCACATTTACCCAAGACGGTCAACCATTTGTGCAAAGAGGTAGACCTTAATGAATCATGTCCTTGTACAATTAGGATTTTGTGTACTTGTCCTTGTCGAATTATGATTTTATATATCTTTCACCAATTGGATAAGGAATTCGTCTACATTATCTATAAATAGATGGGAGTCTGAAGACTTTAATCGTACTTCGATTTATGCAATTTGTTGGAGTGAAGTTGTAATCTCATCGCTCTTATTGTGATCGGGTGTTGGTGGCGGTTTATTTTTATTCCGTAGACCGTAACAATAAGTGGTCGACCTCTTTGCTAAGGTATGTCTCGTATGTGCTTGTTAATGCTTGTATGTGGTTAAATTTTTCCCACCATCCGGTCGACCACCTCCACCATCCGGTCGACCGTACTTTTGTAATTATATGACTAGGTCGACCTTTCCGTAAATTCTGGTCGACCGCATGTTTGTTATTTAGTAATAAGGTCGACCGTACAGTTCATTCAGGTCGACCTGACGAGAGCTAATTGTGTATGTTTTTTACATTAAGTTCGTATTCCGATCGTTTCAGGATGGATAACAGAGATGATACAGATGATAGAGATGATGATGAGGTTAACTTCGATGAGGAACCTAAGGATGCTCAAGAAGGAGCTATGGATAATTTAGATGATACAGATAATACGGATGATGAAGTGATTGGGGATGATAATGAAACCGAGGGTGCTGAAGAAGAATTTATGGACTTTGTCCTTCTGTTCGCCAGATGAGGTCGACCATTTCATAATCATGGTCGATCGCATCTGGCCTTAAATCGATTTTTATTTCTGTTTTATTTGTGCGAAACTAACACTGGTCGACCGCTTCTATTAATGAGGTCGACCGAATCTGTTTTGCACTCAATTGCTACGAGCATTTGGGCCATTTCTTTTGTTTTAATTTAGCCGAGGTCGACCTATGATTCTTCTGAGGTCGACCTATGAAGGCAAAAGTTCGAGTTGTGCCGTTGTCTTTGAATTATTTGTGCGAAACTAACACTAGTCGACCTCTTCTATTTATGAGGTCGACCGGATCTGTTTTGCACTCAATTGCTACGAGCATTTGGGCCATTTCTTTTCGTTTTAATTTAGCCGAGGTCGACCTATGATGCTTCTAAGGTCGACCTATGAAGGCAAAAGTTCGAGTTGTGCCGTTGTCTTTGAATTATTTGTGCAAAAATAACACTGGTCGACCTCTTCTATTTATGAGGTCGACCGGATCTGTTTTGCACTCAATTGCTACGAGCATTTGGGCCATTTCTTTTCGTTTTAATTTAGCCGAGGTCGACCTACGATGCTTCTGAGGTTAACCTATGAAGGCAAAAGTTCGATTTATTTGTGCTTAACTTATTGAGGTCGACCTGTGATGATATTGAGGCCGACCTCGGGCCATTTAAATCGATTGAAAGCCAATTGTGACTTTCAGAAGGAGTGCAGTGCAGGACATTAGGCCACCTTGCAATGCACTCGAAGACACAAACGTTTGTGTCTTCGAGTGCATAGCAAGGTGGTCTAATGTCCTGAACTGCACTCCTGCTGAAAGTCACAATTGGCTTTCAATCGATTTAAATTTTCCGAGGTCGACCTATGTTTTTTCTGAGGCCGACCTATGATTTTCAATCGATTTAAATTTTGTACTTGAATTGTTACGGGTTTATGTCGACCCATTCTCGTTTTAAATTAACTGAGGTCGACCTATGATTCTTCTGAGGTCGACCCATTCTCGTTTTAAATTAACTGAGGTCGACCGCTTTATGGAGTGGTCGACCGCGTATTGTTCAATTCGAAAATGTGACTAACGTGTATTCTTGCTTGTTTAATCGCAGGATGTTTGGCAAAAATAAGAAAAGAAAGTCACAAAAAGCTGCTGCCTCAAGTTCGGAATGGGAAGAGTTCAATCCCAAACTGTTCCAGACCAAGGATCAAAGTGACAACTATGAAGAGAAGAGAATGCACAACCGCAGGGTGGCTCCTGGAAGGCCATTGACTACGGATGCGTATTCTCATTTCGAGAATTACGGGTTTCTGGGACCCTTCATCGAGCAAGAGTGGCTGAAGGTGATATCTCTCAATGTACCATACTACCCAAAACTGGTACAGTACTTCTACAACAACATCGTGTACGAGCGCAATGCAAATGGATCCATTCACGCATTCAAATCCTATGTGAATGGGGTGGCGATGCGCATCAGCAAGAATGTGTTGGCGCAAGTACTTGAGGCTCCAAACGAGGGGAAGAGAATCAATTCTTACGGTGCTTGGAATGAAATGTATTTCACGAGAGCCAAGCAAATCCAGACGGTATGTGGTCTTGATGAAGAGGAAGATGCTCAGGGGCGCAATAGGCCAACGAGTAACCACCTGACAGTTCAAGCCAGAGTTCTTCACCACATGCTTTCCTACAACATTCTGCCAAAGGGTGGACATCGGGAGACAGTCACCTACTTCGACATGGAGCTCCTCACCAACCTACTGTTAAACGAGAAGGTGAACTTGCCATACTTGATCTTAACCACATGCTTACTGCTGCAGAGAGTTCAAACAGGAATCTTCCCTATGGGATGATCCTCACTGTGCTATTTGAGCATTTTAATGTGAATTTAAGTGAAGAGGTGGGGTTAAGAATCTCAAGGCAAGAGTTCTATACTGTTTCATCTCTGAAAAAGATGGGCTTTGAGCTGCGTAATGGTGAGTATGTCAGAGTAAACAATGCTCATGGTGGTGATGATGATGATGATGATGATGAGGGTGATGAAGGAGCTTGAGACGAGCCAATGGCGGAGGCACAGAGTTCAACTCCACCGATCACCTTACAATGTGTGTGGGAGCGCATGGATGGCATGTACGAGTACATGGGCCAGATGTCCACCCAGATGACTGGCATGCACGACTACATGGGGCAAATGACCGCCCAGATGAGCACAATGCAGGTGACCGTGAATGAGATGCGAGATGAGTGGCGATCTTTCAGCGGAAGATACATGCATCCCACCACATCCGACCACCATCATGCTAGCACCACCAATGAAGAAAATGTGGATGAGAGAGAGGGGGGAGATGAGTAGGAGAAATGAGATTTTATATTGTGTGTTTTAGTGGTCAAAACGATTGTTGATTGTTATTCTGTTGTTTTTTTAGTTTTATTTTTATGTGTGAACAATTATGATTTCTGTTTTATTTTTAGTTGTTATGCTATGAATTGATGAGTCCTTGTTATAATTATTTATGACTAATTATGATGGTTTGAAACATAATTTATACAATTAAAAGAACCACACAAATCGACATACATAAGCAAAAAAGACACGGGGCATAGTGTGACTTTCTTGTATTCGGTCGACCTCGTACCGTATTAGGTCGACCGCGAAACCAACACTTGATCTTGATTTTACGTCAAATAATTGGACACTTTGATAGAACACTTATCTTCTATCTGGTCGACCTCTTTCCTTATCCTGTCGACCATTTTGTTAATGACTGCCATCAAGTGGTCGACCTATATACCTTAGGTGGTCGACCATGTTGTTTCTGACGCCAACGAAATGGCCGACCCAGGTTTTATTCTGGTCGACCAAAAATAACAACTTAAACTAAGTGCGGTCGACCAGGTGGTCGTTGAGGTCGACCGCAATGCTTTCTCGTGCTGCCCAAATTAGTTGATTCGGTCGACCGCCTTCAGCAATAGGTCGACCGAAAAGTGCATGTCACCGTGACATGCATGTCATAGTAGGCATACAATAATGTTTTTATTTCTCATTTTCCTTTGGGTTAAGAATGACAATTGAACCCAAACCTGGTGCTAACGAGTTTTGTATATAGAGTGCGTTTTATCTGTTCTAGAATTGGCGTGTTCAACCGAGTGTGAATTGTTAAAAACTCGATTCGAACCAATCAAGGCGAGTTTAACTCGATGTCTAGAGTTTTTGGTAGGGAGCGAGTTTTCTCTGCTTTAGTGTTTTTTATTTATCTGTTTATTTTGGTTGAGAGCTAGATGGAGCTAGAAAGTCAATATTAAAGGATAAAATTAACGTCAACTATGAAAATAATTTTCTATATCAATATTTTCAATAGCTCAAACACTTTGTGAGCTATTGAGCTATGATTCTATGACTTCATGAGCTATGTTTTTGTCATTAAGTGTTGACTAAGTTATTAATCATTTTACTGAAGTGAGAAAGTGTTGTAGTTTATTATTCCATTCATCATGCAGTGCGAATAGCTATTTTTTTCCAAAGCCTAGGCACGCTTAGTCTATGCCTAGGCGAGTTATGCACTATGCAAAGGGTCAACGCTCGCCTTACGCCTAGCACCTTCTTGAACCTTGGTAATGAGAGAAGATTAAACATAGATATCATTTGCTTGACGACCCTTCGCCCTTATTAAAGTTCATCGCTGCGTCGACTACATGGAGTTGTAGATGACAAGCCGTTTACTTTTTTCTCAAAATTTAAACTATTAATCTTTAAAATATCACGTTCTTGCTCACACGTGAAGCGATAGCGAGCGGGCTTATGCTAGTATCGAGAACAAAAGTCAGTATTGGGGGCAGCAACTGAGAATCACTAACTAGGTTCTACTTGATAGGAAGGAAGAATAGAAATTTCCGGTGACCTGACCATCATTTTCTTTGTTTCTTAATGTGAAAATTCAAAGCAGCTTTACAACATCATTCACAGAACTTTCCTATATATGTAAAAGAAAAATCAGGAACACCACTTTCTTTTTTGGTCATTTCTTATTCGTAGGCCACCACCAGAATGCCAAAGTGGCGGAAGCAGTGGACAACCCAGTTGAGAGCAAATTGAAGTCCACTCAACACGCTTCCAGTTTCATCCGGAGGCTACGAGTTTCCAATTTATTAACGTCCGCTTTGGAAAAATTGCAGTTCCATAGTTTAAAATTCTGCTCTCTCCCTCTTCGCTTTCTTGAGCCGCAGGCCGTACTTTAAAAACAAGAAATCTGCTCTCTCGAACTCAAGGTAATGTCGCTTCAAACTGACCCGTAGAGTGAGTCATCCATTGAGCAAGTTCTCCATTGAGGGGGTTTTTTTTTTTTTTTTTTACTTCTTCTATTAGAGTCATTTATCCATCAGTCCGCCAACTTATTTTCCCTCTAAACTTTATCCTTTTTTGGTTGTGAGCAGTGACAACAGAGGAACTGAGGAACCATGGCAGCTTCCCCCATACTATCAATCCTCATTTCCTTGTTCCTCATCTTCACGATATCGCATTCTCAACAAGACCCAACTAGTTCCCTCTCTTTCAACTTCACCGGCTTGCCCGATGTTGCTTGCAACTCCGACATCAAAACCTCGGGCAACGCTTCCTGCCTCGACTCGTCCATCCTCACGGACAATGGCACCTGGCACACCGGCCACGCCATATGCTCGTCGCCGACTTCACCAACAATTCATCTTCTCCGTTGATGTTGGCCTCAACGACTCTCATGGTGACGGCTTCGCTTTCTACCTCCAACCTCGACTACCAGATCCCTATTGGTCGCACCGGCAGTGTCATGGGCCTCGCCTTGAACAACATGTCTCTCAAATCCTCCTCCAACCCATTTGTCGCAATCGAGTTTGACACCTTCGCCAATGAATGGGATGTCCCGCACGTCGGCATCGACATCAACTCCGCCATCTCCGTTAAAACTGCTCGCTGGATGGCAACATCTTGGATGGACGTCGATTGAACGCAACAATCACTTACAATTCTGCCTCTTTCTCTAGTGCTTCATTAATGATTCTTTTTTGGGTGTCCCATCCTTCCCTTTTGCTGTTGTATGGAAAAGAAACATCCCCTTCAAGATTTGCTTTTTTCTCTAGACCCTCTTCCACAAGAAGATCTTGACACTTGACAGCATGAAGATCGGTTGGGAACTTGCTAACCGGTGCGAGCTTTGCAAACAAAAGGAAGCAACTGTCGATCATCTCTTCATTGATTTTGATTTTGATTTTGCCCAAGCTGTTTGGAATTCGGACAATAGAAGATGTTGTTTCATTCATCAAGCAACACAAGGAATTGTTGACACAATCCGGGGATGGCCTGATGACACACCAAACAATGCTAGCTTCAGGGTGGTTCACTTACTACAGTCTTCATGCCATCTGTTGGTGCATCTGGCTGGAACAAAATCGGAGAATTTTTCAAGATATTGTAGCCCCTAATGTCGTCATCACTCGTCGGATTGTCCATATGGTCACTGATTGGATTGTCGTCCATGAAAAAGATGATAAGCGTGATTGTGGTTTTTGGTTGGAAGGAAGCTTTATATAGCTCTGTTCTGCTCGCAATCATCTTGATTTGATCGGGAGGTAATTCTGTTGTTGTCGTCCTTGTTTTAGCAGTTGTGGCTCTCTATTTGTTGTTTCCTGGGCGCTGATATGTTTTTGGCCCTTTGCTTCTCTTTCCATTTTTTCTTTACTGTTTTTGTTGTGTTTCTTGGCTGTTGACTCGACAGGTTTTTCTTCTGCTGTTTTCAGGTTTAGTTATGCTGAACCTCCAAATTTTTGTTATTTTTCTATTTTTTAATTTAATATTTATCTTCATCAAAATTTTCATCTCTCTCCAGCAACTCTGCCACGAACTAGACCTACAGATTACTTGAGGGAATTGGTAAACATCGGATTCTCCTCGTCAAAGGAAGAAGCCATAAAATTCCATAGAATTCATTCTTGGTCCTTCACCTCAAACCTGGTTGCTATGCCAATTCCCGCTCCGCCTCCAGGTAGCACGCTAGGTGTTCAATGAAAAGACTACACACCTGGAATTACGATAGGAGTGGCGGTTGGAATTGGGCCTTGCTTTGTAATCTTGTTGTTGGGCGGGCTGGGATTATTCATCTTTCGGGGGAACAAAACCAAAGGAGACCAATAGAATAGTGTGCTCGTGAGAATGAATGGAGCAAGAAACAACCCTAGAGAGGCCTTGGAGCTTGGTGAAGGTTGATTTGGAGCTGTTTATAGAGGCTAAGTGGAAGATCTTAACATGTTCGTCGCAATCAATCAAGAGGATGCTCAGAGGAGCAGCTTCAGGGGTCCAAGACTACGCTAATGAGATCATGATCATTAGCCAACTCAGACATAAGAACTTGGTGCAACTAATCGGGTGGTGCCATGAGAAACGCATACTCTTGCTCGTTTATGAGTACATGGAGAATCGCAGCTTGGGTTATCGTATCTTTGATGAAGAAAGGTGCTTGGATTGGAACAAAAGGTACAGAGGTGCTCAAGGGTTGACCTCTACTTTGCATTACCTTCACGAGGAGTGCAATCAATGTGTGTTGTATAGAGATATCAAGGCCAACAACGTGAAGTTAGCCGCACATTTCACCCCAAGCTTGGAGATTTCGGCCTGGCAAGGCTGGTGGATCACGATGTTGTGTCTCAGACGTTACTCGGTGGAACTCGAGGTTACATGGCTGACTATGCCTTGAGAGGGGGAAGACTAGCAAGGAGACTAACGTGTATGGTTTTGGAGTTGTGGCTTTGGAAATCGCCACGGGAAAGAGACCATTCGTGGAGCTGGAAGACGAGTCATATGGCAGAGGAAGGCTTCTAGACGGGGTTGTTTGGAAGCGAAGAGGACAGTTGGAGGAGAAGCAAGTAGAATGTTTGATGGTTGTTGGTTTATGGTGCTGTCATCCAAGTTTCAGGATGTGTCCTTCTATGAGGATGGTTATGGACATGCTGAATTTCAGCGCTCCGCAGCCCAACTTGCCTTCGAAGTTCCTAGGGTCCGTGCATTCCACGCCATCCAAACTCTTCTCATCCTTCTCCTTGTCTACCATCAAAAGTACCATTCCTGAAGAGAATTTTAAGAGTGTCGCAGAAGAAGAAACTAGCACAAAAAGTTCCAAAGATGGGTTGTCGATTATTGAGAAAGCAAAAATGAGCTTGGAGTCTTCAACGGACCATTTCATTAGACGTGGCCAAGGAGGAATCAACACCGATGACAGCTCTGCAACTTTCACCAAGTATCCTCCCGCCAAGTTTTTCGACAGTGTATAAAAAGTTATTACCATAATACAATGGCTAGCATTTCTATAGAGTTGAGCTGGTTTTTCCTCGGTGTAAGCCTTCACTCTTGTACATAAAGATTAAGCTACACGAAGTTTCGATTGTTGTGTGGGATAATTTTCTTCAACCCATACTTGCTTGCGATTGTAGAACATAAGAAGGTACCCTCTTACACAAAATCATTATCGAAGTATCTCATGTCATCCTTTACACCATTGGCACGACTGACACCCAAAAAATGGATAAATCATGAGATTGAGAAGACGATGAAAGTTTATCTTCATTTCTTTCCAACCAATTAAAAATCGTTTCGACTCTAGTTAAGTAACGTGAGCAAAATGTAACACATTCATCTACAACATAAGATTCAGTAATGGACCCCTCTGTACGTGCCTTGTTATGAACGTAACCTTTTAACTTCTTCAAGTACCTAAATTTTGTAAAAGATGGTGAACTAATTAGTATTTAAATTCTTCAAGCACCTAAATTGTTAGTAGTGTATTTAAAATAGTCTAATTATCATACCTTTCAATAGGATGCACCGAACAATATTGAACTGTACCAACAACTTTGGCCCCCCAAGGCATATGGATGGGCAAGTGAATCATGATATCGAACAATGATGTGGAGAGGGGGGGAATACGTTCCAACCTATAGAGGATCGTGGAAATTTAAGACTCCAATATATTAAAATCTTCCACATTTAGCTTCTTGAAACATATGTCTTTGAAAAGGTTGCTAAACTCAATCAATGCATCGGATATAAGTCACAGGCTGCTAGCGGTGGTAACCTCTCTCAGAACACATGACACTCATGAGTTTTCATTCCACAAAATTTTCAATCATCAACATTGACACAACGTTCCAAACTTATGGAGTATTCACCAAGTCAGGCCGATTGGTCGAACCGACCTGGACACCAACCCAGCTCGACATAGGCCAATTTTTTTTTTGAATTCTCATTCATGAATAAAATTATAGAACAAAGATACATATTTATAGGAGTAACCCCACAAACCCTTTCCTTTGAAACAGGTCAAAAAATCATATAATTTGATAGATTACTCTCACACTCATGAACAAATAACTTGTATTATACAAAATATGAACAAATTAAATAAGTGAACTAGTTCATATTTAATAGATTACTCGCACACACAGAAACTAAGTTAATAGGCTTTTAAACAAGCATTCACTACCTTCCTCCTACTTAGTGATAGGGGTGGGATGTGTAGGGATAGGGAGGTTTAATGCATCGAGTGATTATACCCAAGTTGCAGTAACAATAGGAGCCACCTTAGAGTAATTTGGAGGCACTTTGCAGTAAACAGAGGAAAATGTGTTGAAAGCGATCTTTTGATGTGGCATGTGTTAGTTTTGGTGGTAGAGGAAAGACGAGAATGAGGAGAAGTAGCAATGAATTACGGATGATGAGTTCATACAAGCAAAAACTAAAGGGATAAACCAACTAGAAAACTTGATTGTTTTCTCCTTTTGGCAAAAAAATTGAACCAAACACGGCCAAATATAGTCCTCATACCCGGATATCAAAAGCATAGAAAAGTGGTTCAAAAGCTAGCCTCTAATGCTTTTACTAGGTTTGAAGACTTTTACTTGGACTTTTGGTGCAAATACGTTTTTGGAATAAAAGCTAAAATATTTATGTTCCAAAGTGTAAGCTTTTAGGATTTAAAACTAGCTTTTCACTACATTATTTTGAACCAACCTGTTGGTTGAAGGGTCAGACAGTTAACCATGCCAAACTCGTGTGTTGCTTGGGAACGGGATGCACACTACACTAGGGAACTGATCCAACTAATTCAAGTGGAATAAATTTTCATAGGCATCGACTCTCTGTGTAGGGCTGGCTATTTGGTTCGGACTGTTCGGTTTTACCCGAAACCAGACCGTATAACCCGGACCGGGACCGGACTGGGACTAGATAGCAAATAATCCAATCTCATATTTGGGCTTAGATTTGAGGTAAAAAGTCGTTTGGGACCGAATCAAAAATCGGATTAAGACCGGATAAGATACCCAACACCCAAAAGCAACTCCTCACCCTTTGAGACTTCAGGCCACTCAAATTCCCACAAGCTCAATCTAAAATCAAAACCAAATTGGGACCGGACCGGGTCAAGACCGGACCAGATCAAGAAAGCATCCCATAGAGATTTTGATACAACCTCTCTAAGTCTTGCAAAAAGAAATAACCATCAGTGTTGGACAGTATCCAATCCAATCTTTGGTCCTTATATTCTCGAAAAGACCGAACTGGGACCAGATCAATTCGGGCCAATTTAACCGGACAGGACCGTATAGCCACCCCTATCTCTGTGGAGTTAAACTGGAGGTAGTTTTGGGAAGAGAGGATTGATTATGTAGGATAGGAAAATGGGCATTGATTAAACTCGGAATAGAGGAATTCTGATGGCAACCGATCTCTTAACTTTTATGATTATTTTTTATTAATTAAATTAATATATTAGAAATTTATGATAATACTTTAGGGTTTTCTTTCTTGAATCTTCATTAAACATTCCAGATACATGTACATTCATAATACTATATGGATTATGTGTTGAATTTTGGATTTTAGATTTAGGTTTTAAATGCAGAAATTTACAGACTCGGATGGTTTATGTGAGGTTTGAACTTTTAGTACTCATATTTTCAATTTGTCTAAGAGGAACATATTAATGGTTTAGTATGATTAATTACTGTGGAGTAATTATAATTTTCTTATTTATTATCATCGGTTCATTAACGATTTTATAAAGGTCGAATATC